GTATTTATAGTTGAAAATAGGAAAAAAGTGTAATTATAAAACGTTTGGGGTTAAAACAAAGTTGGGGGGAGGGGATTAAATGGTTATTTTATAAATAGCCAACGGCTATTTTGGCAGCAATAACGGCTACTTTTTAAAGGTGCAGCAGTCAAAAATTAAATTGAGATTTTTTTTTAAATTAGCTGTTGGGCTCGTTTAGGACCGTTTGGGTCCGATTAGGAGCGATTGAACCGGCCCACTTAGGAGCCGGTCCCGAGCGCAAACGGTCCCGGTCCTAACAGGCCCCTACTGTGAACCGGCCCACATGGGCATGTATGTCTCCTTTGTGCCGGGCTTAAACGGATAGGACTGTTTAGGCCCGTTACCTATATGAACTCGCGGGCCTGGGCCGGTCCCAGGCCTAACCGGCCCACTTGCCACCCTTAAGGAAGCTTAAACATATCTGCCAAATATCTATTAAGCAATCATAGTGTACCATACAAACAAAAAGGAAAATGAAAAATGGGGACCATACCTTACATTGCTAACAATCGATAAAGTTCTAGACAAGTGTAGAACATGTACAACTTGAAGAAGAAAAGCTCCTAGAACCATCCGACCTTGTGCTTCTATTTCCTTCCAGAAGCTTCTACCTTTCCTCTATATAATCACCCCAACTTCCATCATCATTCTCTGCAATAGAAAGCGAAAACCCAATCTAATACAGCAAACCAAACTCACACGTTCAAAAGTATCTCAAAATTGAAACCAATTCAACCAAGAAGAGGAAGATGGATTTCAGGCTAATGGGTATCGACACACCACTCTTCCACACTCTCCAGCACCTTATGGACGCCGCCGGTGATGATTCCGACAAGTCCGTCAACGCCCCATCAAGAAACTACGTACGTGACGCTAAGGCAATGGCTGCAACACCAGCGGATGTGAAGGAATACCCAAATTCCTACGTTTTCGTTGTGGACATGCCAAGGTTGAAATCTGGAGATATCAAAGTGCAGATGGAAGATGACAATGTGTTGCTGATCAGTGGAGAGAGGAAGAGGGAGGAAGAGAAAGAAGGGGCCAAGTATATCAGAATGGAGAGAAGGATTGGGAAATTCATGAGGAAGTTTACACTGCCTGAGAATGCGAATATTGATGTGATTTCTGCTGTTTGTCAAGATGGAGTTTTGACTGTTACTGTCCAGAAATTGCCTCCACCTGAGCCTAAGAAACCCAAAACTATCGAGGTTAAAATTGCTTGAGGTTAAACCCAAAACTATCAAGATGGGGTGCTCTGTTTTGATGTTTGGTGGGATGACGTAATAAAGCTGGCAGAGATCTAAGAGTGGATTTTCTTTCCCTGTCTCCTTTATATTTTCTTTTTTTTAATGGAATATGATGAAATGTGAGGAAGAATTAAATGTGTAGGTGTTCTAGTATCCAGTTTTGTTTCTTCGATTGTCATCGATATATAGTGTGCAATTTCTTACAATATGTAGAGTGCAAAACTTTTCCGTATCTGAATTTAGGCCTTTATCGAACGAGTGACAGATTTTCTTCGAGATTTGGCAAAATCAATCTTGAATTATCCCGAGATTTTAACAAGATAGAAGAAATATATGCGATAAATTGACGGCATGGATATTCCTCGTCGTCCATATTGGTAATGAGTATTGTTAGTATACTTTATTTGTAAAATAATTTTGGAGAAGAAAAATAACGTAACCGAATTTAATCTGAGCTTACTGAATTTATTGAATTTACAATATTTTTTTAAAAAGAACTTAATTCCTTCCTAATATTTGAGGTTGTGGATTATTTTCTCCTAGGATAGAATGGATTACATACTGGTATAGCGGCACTTCAATCTCCAGTGTTTCAACGAACACAAATGGCGACAACAAATCATACTTATGTTATTTGTTTTGTAAGAAAATAATGCAGAAAGGAAGAGAACTCAGAAACTTCGTATGAAAAATCTAAGGGAATAGTGTGCTATTTATAACTAACATGTTGAGTTTTAAACGAAGAGCAACTCTTACGTAAAACGACTATAACATAAATGGTTATTTACGCAAAGTAAAACGGAAATCCAAAATGCGGAGGAAAATTAATTTTCCATTACAAAACAAATAATTTGGATTAAATAATATTACGTTAATCTTTGATATTAACAAATAAATTTGGTCCAAAAAATTAATCAATCTATCATTTGACCAAATCCAAATTAGAAGCCAANCCAAATTCGAAGCCAACTCCGAGCGAGCGACTATGACGACGGCGCGAGACTTGCCTTCTTCTTAACTCTTTAAGAGTTTGTCACGATCCGATTTTTCTACCCTCGGAGGTCGTGATGGTGCCTACTAGTGAAAGCTAGGCAAGTCAATTATTTTAATTACTTAGCCTTTTTCATTTTTAATCCCTTAACAAAGGTGAATAAACATCATATAAACAACAGAAATAATAAAGTGGAACACTGAAATGTAACTAGTTAATAATAATTCCGATACAGATCCCTAACAAAACTACCCAGAACTGGTGTCACAATCTCACAGACTGTCTAGGAATACTACAAATAGGGGTTTGAAAGATAAGTACAAAACTGTTTCCGAAATACATAGAAGGAACAGTAAGGAAAGATGGAAGGAGACGCCAAGGCCAGCGGACGCCTGTAGGACTACCTCGGGTCACCTGAATGGACTGAAGTCAGCAACCTCACTGCGGTCCAAAAGCTGAAGCACTGGGATCTACACACAGTGCAGAGTGTAGTATCAGCACAACCGACCCCATATGCTGGTAAGTGCCTAGCCTAACCTCGACGAAGTAGTGACGAGGCTGGGACCAGACTACCAAATAAACTTGTGTAGTTAAATCATATACATCAGATAAATAAAAGCAGATATTCACAGTTAAAGATGGGAGGGGGAAAACATGCTGCGGGGAGTATTAGATAACAACAGAACACCAACAGAGGAATGTAAAGAAAAACCAGAATTCAATTGCTAACAAGAATAAGGAAAACAACACAATATTCACTTTCATTTCTTTCTTGTTGCGACATACAATCTGATCTCATTTCATATAATACCGTTGCGGCGTGCAATCCGATTCCATTTCATATATTACCGTTGCGGCGTGCAACCCTATCCCATTTCATATATTACCATTGTGGCGTGCAATCCGATCTCATTTCATATATTACCATTGCGGCGTACAACCCGACCCCATTTCATATTTTATCGTTGCGGCGTGCAACCCGATCCCATTTCATATAATACTGTTGCAGCGTGCAACTTGATCCCATTTCATATTCAACATCAATCATAAAAGAATCCCGACAAGGGAACAAGTGTATAACAATAACATCCCGGCAAGGGAGACAATATCATAAACAATAACATCCCGGCAAAAGAAATAATATCATAGACAATAACATCCCGGCAAAAGAAATAATATCATAGACAATAACATCCCGACAAAGGAGATAAAATCATAAACAATAACATACCGGCAAGAAAACCAACAATAATAATCATCATATTAAGCATGGATAAATCGCAACGGAGTCACAACAATTACAATACAAGACTCACAGGCATCCTGGACACCGACATATAGATACTCGTCACCAAGCCTATACGTCGTACTCCACAATTAACACATAGAAAATAAGATACAACTCCTAATCCCTCAAGCTAAGGTTAGACCAAATACTTACCTCGATGCCACGAACACAATTCAAGCCTCAGCTACCGCTTTACCTCTTGTTTCCACCACCAACTCGCTTGTATCTAGCCACAAATTACTTAAATATATCAATAAATGCTAAATGAATCAATTCTAATGCATGAAAATAAGTTTTCCAATGATTTCCCCAAAAAGTCAAAAATCGATCCTGGGCCCACATAGTCAAAACCCGAGGTTCAAACCAAAACCCGATTACTCATTCACCCACGAACTCAAATATATAATTTGTTTTGAAATTGGACCTCAAAGCGAGGTCCAA